TTATTATTATTATTATTATCTGTCCAGAAACAGAGCTGAAGTAGATTTTTCATCACTGAGCTTCTCAATAAAATGACTATATATGGTAGACAGGATAAGTTGAAAGTAGTTATGAAACAAGTATGTGATTGATCTTACTCCTTCTTTAAACAGAATTTGAACATGCACTACTACTACCATTATTATTATTATCATTAAAATGTTGCAGAGCTTTACTTTATCACTTGCTACAAATCCAGCTGGCCACTGGGGACAGGAAAAAAATCAACTTTGCTCTTCGCTCTTTGAGTCTGTCTGTTGTTATTTAGGCTTTTATTTTGGAAGAAGGGTGGTGGGGCTGCTTAAGAGGCTCAGGGTATTTATGTTCAGTCAGAGCAGGAGAAGGAACGGCTGCTTCTTGCAGAGAGGTGGGGGAATAAGATGGATGGAGGGGAGGGAGAGGAGGATGGATGTAACACAAAGAGAAGGAAAGGCAACAAAGAAAGAGAGTGAGAGGAGAGAAGAGGAAAAGACAATTTTCCGTCCAATCCCTGAGCACCTTAAGGGATGAGTTGATTTACTGTCAAATCTGCTGGTGGATTATCGATAATCTCAGGCAGGCCCCTCAATCTACCCACTCAGCCATCGCTGCACTCTCAGACAGAACCCTGGGCAGGGAGCAGGAGTACAGACATTAATATAAAAGAGAGTGAAATGGAGAAGAGGGTGTGTTTGTTTTGTGTATGTATGTGCCCAAGATATAGCCAGACAGAGGGTGTTTTTCTGCCCAGAGAATTAGAGAATAAAAAAAAGGCCTTCAATTTTCCACTTGAGCAGATTTCAATTTACACACACATCCCCCTTCGTGACTCCATCCTCCCATCGTTATTGATAGCATTTAGGGCTGCTGTGATAAAAGATTGGCCACTTAGTGTTTTTCATTCATTTGTTTTCCGCCATTGGCAGGACATTCGCTCATACTGGAAACTGTGTCTGTTACAAACCAGCTATATGGCGAACAGTGTGTCTGAGTATGAATGCATTAGTCTGAGGGGTTAATCCAGTAGACTGTAGGAGTATAAAGTTGGAAGCGGATGCTGTGCACCAACATATTACTCATTTTTTAAATAAAATCAAACATTTTTTATATATAAATTAAAAAATTTTAGATTTTTAAATAGAACTTTTTTTTTTGCTTCAGCTGCAGAGATAACCAGGCATTTCTTGAACCAGACAAGTCTTTTTTTTTTTTACTAACTGAACTCGTTACATGTAGAACAAGAGTATTCTTTCGTTTCTGATCTGCTGCTGTTATAATATGCTGTTAATGTAAACTCAACTCTCCTTTTTATGTTTCCCTCATGCCTTAAAATAATAAAAAAAACTATAAAAAAATAAATAAACTCTAGTGCTGAAGTGATTAGCACATTAATTAGTCATTCAACAGAAGGAAATGATAATCAATGTTGATAATTAATAGTTTCAGTCATTTATCAAGCAAAAATGCCAAACAGTAGCTGATTCCAGCTTCTCAAACGTGACAATAATTTTTCTATTTTTGAACAATTTGAATATCTTTGGATTTTGGACTGTTGGTTTGCAGACATGTAATCACTGTGTGCGACAGTGGTTGTGCCCCCCCTATGTATGAAATATGGACACACATACACACATGCACACATTACATACAGTTACTAGTTACTCATCTGTTGACCTGTTTGGCCTGTCTGCAAACTGTAGTGGGCCGAGTGAGACAGGAGGAGAGGAAGTGGTAAAGGTTTTGACTAATTGCTCAAAGCACTTCATGGTGGTATATGTGAGCGCTACTGGGCAGTAGTCGTAGAGGCAGGGTTTTACTATATACTGGAGCAGCGAGTGGTTGAAACTGTCAAAGACATCCGCTATTCAGTGTATCAAAGAATGAGCTAGTGTGCCCAGATACCTTTGATGCTGCACATGGAACCAAACCCAAATGAGAATTACAGTAGACATACACAGAATGTGGAAAAGTTAGTTCACATGCACACCTGTGTCACTTGTGTCCAAGAAGCCCAGTCTTGTATTTTCCCTGCGTGAACATATCTCATGCAAACAGCAATTTCATTGACTACTGCTTTGATCTTGCACAAAAATAAGGAGACTGCTGGTGCTCAGTTTACATGTCTGGACTCATTGTTCTATTTCTGGGCATCTGAATAATTTCGGATCTGTAGTTAATTTTTGCACATTAACTTAAAAAGTTCTATAAATGTTCCTTTATTGAGAGTATCAGCATTTTCCCTGTGTCTACATAATGGAATGTCCTGCTTAACACAGTACTATATCCAAAACTACTTTTATATGGTCCTGATTCCACTTAGTAAAGTACTATTCCCTGGCATCATGCTTTATTTGATTTAACACATTTCCCCGGCCTGTTCGGCTGGCCCTTGAGCCTTGAAACATGTTCAGTAACACTAAGTGCGGCTTGGTCATCTGCTGTTTTTTGCATGCCTGCCATTGTAGCTTCCAGTTCACAAACCTACCTCTCTAGCAAGTAGGTCATCATCTCCACCCACATTTTACAACAAACTGCTTCTTTATTATGCTGTATTCCAATTGAGAAAACTGTCCATAGCACTTTGAATAGAAGCACCTTGGCTATGCAGGGAAATGCCTTCAAAATTGGCTATGCTGGTGGTTAATCAACTGTAGATAAATCACTGAGTGAACCTGCGTCAGGCTGACCGGGAGTGTCTGAAGAACTGGGCCGAGTAGCCTCACTCGAAATATGCTATATATATAGGTGATGTAGCTACTTCTTCAGCTCTCGCTTTTTAGAGAGAGCGCATTAAAGAACTTAGTTTAGGCTTCGTAGCCAGCGTTAATGTTACATCACTTGAAAGACCATACAGCTACCTGGATGAAAGCATCTTAGAAAGGACGGTGTCAGAACCATAGAAAACCAGTTACATTCCAGAACTTATATTCATCTTTATGAAATGTATTTTGATCAAACTTGGCTGGGTGGGCCAGTGCCGTCAGTCCATTTAGAGAGACAGCATGTTCATATTGTGTGTTGTTAATTGGTGATGGGGAGAACCATGATATTGTTACTGTTGATATTTGCATTTCACTTTAATGTGAGCAGTCCATTTAAAGCTTGATTTCTCTGTCCATCATCATACAATAGATTTTACATCTACAGATGATAATTGCATTTATCTTGAAAACATGTTTTTCCTTGCAGCTTGGTGTATTAATGTTACTTTACTGTAAAGTGTTACCAGAAGTACTTGTTAGTGACAACTGTGATGTCATCCATGTCCTATCACAGGTGGTGTATAAGAACAATGACATCCGTCTCGAGTTGTCCCGCCTGGCTCGAATTGTGGACCCTAAGATGAAAATTCAGGGCGAGGTGTCATACAAGTGTGAGAATGTGGCCACCCTGGACCCCATTTCTTTCGAGACTCCCGAGGCCTACATCAGCCTCCCCAAGTGGAACACTAAGCGGATGGGATCCATCTCTTTCGATTTCCGCACGACCGAGCCCAACGGCCTTATCCTTTTCACCCATGGCAAACCCCAGGAGCGAAAAGACGCTGCCCGCAGTCAGAAGAACACCAAGGTCGGTCTATAATCCACAAGATCACTCTTTTTAATTTTAATTCCGCTTTAAAGGTCCAGTGTTTAACATTTAGAATGATCTATTGGCAGAATAGGAATATAATATTCATAGGTATGTTTTTGTTAGTGTATAATCACCTGAATATATGAATCATATTGAATATTATGGCAAAAGGCAACCGGACTTGCAGTTGGAAGGACTGATGAATCCTTTTGGATGAAAATGTCATCAAGAAAAAGATACAGTATCTATGACCTGCATGACTTGAGAACAGGCATCATACATTATTAGAATTTCTTTAGTGGAGTGGTTCTCATTGTATACGTATCGAACCTTCATTTATATGAGTTACAAGCAGTCTAACCACAGAGTGATGTTCCCCTCTCAAATTGTTTAATTTAAATTTAAACATGTAAATATGTAATACTTTCTTACAGCAATTGTTGGAGAAATGTCAGAAAAATTAATTTCTGTATAAGAAATGTTTTTCTCATTTCTTATGTTGTTAATCAACCCTTGACCCCTTCATATTTATCTTGTGACCACTTGAGGCACTGTGTTCCCACTGGTCTAGGAATCTGGTCTGGTCTGGGTGTGGTTGGGTGTGGTCAGAAGTGTGCCCTGTTGCACCTATGACCACACCCAACAGTGATGTCACGGCACTGTTTTAAGTTTACAGGGTTCCCACACATTTTCATGGACAAAATTTCAAAACTTTTCCATGACTTTTCAAGGACCCATAATAAAATTTCCATGACCATTCACAACCTATATAAGTTATATATAAGTATCCTTTACTCCAACTGTTAATTATTGTATGAAAACTAAACAGTAAACCTTTTTTAATCTCTAATAGATGGTTATGTTCATATTCAGTGCTCAGTTGCAGACGTCGATGTTCTCAATCCAACGATGCTGACAAAATTTCAGCATAAAGGTGTCACTGCCTGTGACCTTAGTGTAGTCCTCTCTACGGGCAGGACTGTCTTTGAAAACCCAGTACAGGCTAGACAGAGCATGTTCAATGTCCCAGCCACTTGCTTTGCACCCATCCCGGAATGCATTATGCATAACATGTAATCCACATGATCCAATATTGAGCAGAGATTTGTTCACATTACCGAGAACTTCTTTCTGTAGCATGTCAAATATTTTCCATTTGACATGAGGACCGTCCATCAACAGTTGAACAAGATTTTTCACTCCAATTCCATCAAGAACGGGAATCATTTTGTCAACAAGGCCATCTCTCGCGGTCTTCTTGTGTTGGATGTGTTTCGTTCCCTTAGCATGACTTGTGAGGGCTGCCTCCCCCATATTGCTAACATCAAAGCTCTTTTTGCAAAGCTTACATCTCGCACGTTGGTCATTCTCTTGTTCGGTTTCTAACCAAAGTTTGTATCTGTCTTTAGAGAGCCATGAAATATTAAATGCATACTTTCCCGGCATTATTCAAACATCATTTCAGCTAGCTGGCATACGTGAAGGGAGAAACGGAACGCGTGGAGAAAGAAAGAAACGTGATGTGACGTGCAGTTGTCACCTTGTCACGTGTCGCCGCATATTAGAGCTAACGTTACGTTAAAGGCAAGAGTAGGGTTTTCCTAAAAAAACAATGTATAGACTAAAATAAATCCCTCTCAATTATCACCTATAAGCTTATGTGTACTTTTTTTTTAACGTTTTGGTGTAATTTTAATTATCATCTGCAGCCTCTCTGTGCTGCTCTGTGTCCATGACAGCCCAGACACTGAGAGCAGAGGAGAGGAGCTCCTCCAACTACGCTCTTTACTGCAAGTGCAATAAAACCTTCGCAAGTAAAAAGCCAATACTTTATCAATACACCTGTTCAACATACAGATACAAATACATCATCACTTATTTTCCTGCAGGTAGTTAGTCATTTGTCGGTATGTGGTGCTGCAGGTGTTACACTGGGCTGTGTTCAGCTGCCTGGCAACCGAGGTCTCTGTTTACAAACCGCTAACGGCAAATCCTACCGTTCCTGCGTAATGTTATTATGTTGAAGGTTTCCACTGTACAATTAATTTCATTTCACACAACAAAATTCCATGACTTTTCCAGGCCTGGAAAATTAGATTTTAAAATTCCATGACTTTTCCAGGTTTTCCATGACCGTGGGAACCCTGAGTTTAGTTAAACTAAATTTAAATGAAAATTTTTTTTATTTAAATTTACAGATTAAATTTTCCATGGCAACAATTGCTTCATGATTTATCTTTGCTCTTCTCAGACCTCTCAGGTCCCCATTTTTTTTTTTTGTCACGATAAAATGCATGCAACTTCTCTGCACATGAACACAAAGAACCATATCTTGAATTCCTTTTTTCAGAAAGAGTTCTTTGATTAAAAGGTAATCTCTGTTGATGTGTTCTTTTGCACTTGTCCAGGTGGATTTCTTTGCAGTGGAGCTGCTGGATGGCAGCCTGTACCTGCTGTTGGATATGGGCTCAGGGACTATCAAGGTGAAGTCCACCCAGACAAAGGTCAATGATGGTGCCTGGTATCACGTGGACATCCAGAGAGATGGACGCTCGGGTCAGTTGTGTTGTTGAATTTGATGAAACAGTATTAGCTCTAATAGAATTTAAATTAAATAAAATACCATATAATATATGTTGTATATAATACTATAATACCACTAAAATACCAATACATTTTAAAAATCACTGCAAGAAATGTCTTCACAAAATACTAAAAAGAAGTCAAAGCTTTCTTATGTTCTGATCAGGCTGAATAATACTGCATTGTTTCATCACTGTGTACACAGTATGGTTTCTTCCTGACATCATCATTCTATCTTGTACAACTGTTGATATCAATTTATCTTTTTTCTCCCTCTATTCGTACCATAGGCACCATCTCTGTAAACAGCAGGAGGACCCCGTTCACTGCCAGTGGTGAGAGTGAAATTCTGGACCTGGAAGGCGACATGTACTTGGGGGGGCTTCCCAACGACCGCACCAACCTCATCCTGCCCACCGAGCTCTGGACAGCGATGCTCAACTACGGCTATGTGGGCTGTATCCGTGACCTTTTCATTGATGGTCGAAGCAAGGACATCCGTCAGATTGCTGAGGCACAAAATGGCGCTGGCATCAAACCCTCGTGCAACAAGCAGCCTGGCAAGCAGTGTGAGAGCTACCCATGCAAGAACCGAGGTGTCTGCAAAGAAGGCTGGAATCGTTTCATCTGCGACTGCACTGGCACTGGTTACTGGTCACGCACCTGTGAGAGAGGTAAATGTGTTTGGATGTGCGCATGCTTTGTTCTCTTGCATAAACCTTGGAACATACTGATATTATCTCCAAGGCATAGGCAACAATGTCCAAGACTACAGACACAATAGAGAACTAGAGCAGCAAGGGATGTCCTGATCGAATCACTTCCTTTAGAGGACACAGCTTGCTAGGCTGAACCTGTGTACTCCCAAACGTTTATTATCATTTCATTGTGTGGTCGTGAGGTAGTGAGAACTCAAAATAACTTGAGGGGCCAGAGGGTTTGTTACAGAGAACCATCTGAGAAGTCATACTTAGAAACAGTTATAAAATGACAGGCACTTGGCAGGTGATTTGATGAATCGTCTATTATTATCACTGGCTAACTTCAACCAATCAGATCAACAAACCAGTAAGCCAGCCCGGAGAAGAGCAAAGAACATCTTTTCAAGAAAATCAAGAAGAAATGTCAGTTGTGTTCTTTGCTCTTCTTTCAGTGAATGAATACTCTCCAGTTCTGATATAACTAATGCTAGCAGCATCTACCCTGTTTAGCATTGTTGTTTTTGAAGGAACAGTTGCTTCTCACTGCATTTAATCTAATTTAAACATTGAGCAGAGGCAGGGCTGTGTATCTGTTGTTTTATGTGTTGTCTGAAGTTTGGTTTGAGTTGTATAGGATGGTAGGATGGGTGAATGTTTGTGAGGAAGGGGATGAATGTGGCAGAGGAAGTTGTCTGGCCAGCCTGGGGTGGGTGTATTTGAGACCAGGGAGGAGGAGACTCAGTGTTGGAGATCCGTCCGTCACGAGTAGAGTCCCTTTGAAAAGATTATGGAGCCCCATATTAGTTTGAAGGAGATCATTATGATTGTTTTTAGATGTAGGAATGTTATACACAACCAACGACCGAGGACATCAGTGGTTGGATCCAAGATGCTCAGTCTGGCTGCGCCGATGCGGAAAGAATGGCTGGAATAGTGTTTTGAAAATATGCCAGAAATGTAGAGGACATGATGAAAATGCATGTGACTTAATTATTTGGCATGGCACTAATAAGCTGCAGTTCAGTACTTGATAGGGAAATTCTCTTTTTTTTATTGCAAGACAAAAGACCTTTAACAGGACAACACGAGTAAGACAAAACAATAACAGACCGTAGTCAAGTGTAGTCAAGGAACTATTGTCTTTTCCATAGTGAGTGTCTATTTGCTCCTGACTGAATTCCAGGCTTTGGCACTGTGCCTGGAATTTCCAGTGCAGTACTTCAGTGAGTGTGATTCTGGTATGAAGTTTATTTACACATACTAACTTACAACATGGTGCTTGACCAGCTTTACTCTGCCTGTTTTTTTCCTTTAGTTTTTCCTACACATCCTCACCTTGCTCTGACTGACTGATTAGGCTGTTTGCCTTTACTTTTGGCAACTTTTGAAACATTAGAGGGCTCAGTTTTATTTATATAGCCTAGTATCACAAATCACAATTTGTAGGCTTTACAATCTGTACAGGATACAACACCCTCTGTCCTTAGACCCTCGGTTCAGTTAAGGAACCCCAGTGTTACAATCAGTGTTACCCATTGAGCTTAATCAGACCTACAGTAGAATGCCTAGCCTAGTGATTTAATTGAGTTTGTAGATGACACTCTCCTTCTGTCTTTCTCTTCGTGTTACTGAAGGCTTTATTTCAGGCAAGGCAGCAAGCCTCCGCTGTAATATGCTGCAGGAAACCCTAGCTAAAAACCATTTATACTAATTTTCACAGGATGCATTATCTGATTGAATACGGGTTGACTAGTAACATCCAATCACTTTACACAAGTGTTCTAGGTAGCCTTTTTAACAATCAGTTGATTGCTCTGCTGAGAATATCATGTCATCAGTGTTTGCTGGCACTGCTCCCTCCACCGCCTGAACCCTCCTCCATGTGACTGAAGCCTTTAGAAGGGCTTAGAATTGCTAAGACACAGCTATCACTGAATTTGTAATATCCCTCAGTGAGCACATCTTTTTCCACCAAATCCAACCATATAACTATTGGTAATAAATAGTGAATTCCTTTACACACTGGGTGTCTTCTTTGACTGGAGTAGGGGTCATGCTTTGGACAGAAGCAACACACACAGCTAGTGCAACTCGCTATCTGTGAGAGGGAAAAATATTGTTTTCTTTTCTATTGGAGGTTATTCAAACAGCTTAATGCTTTCTGATTTCAGATCAGGCTAGGTCTGGTTCTGGTGCCTCACATCTCAGATTTTTATTTTTATTTTTTAGACTTGGTCACTTACAGCTGTGTGAGCAGGATTAAGAATGGGGATGTCATATTCCTGTGCCAGCTATGCAGACTGTTCTACATAACAACACAACTTGACAAACATTAACTGCTAGCATTGACATGATGTCAGACTCCATAATGAAGTGAAAGCTGAATGGCAATTCAGTTTGATTATCATCTAACCAGGAGTGGATACTGAAATTGCCAAATGTGGCTGACATATTCAATTAGCTTAACAACATCAACATATCGATCCATGGAGGCTACACATCTATCCTGTAAGTCAGTGACCTATGGCAGAGACATCTATCCTCTGCTTCTGTGATTCTTCACACAAACGCAGTGCCAGAAAAAGCCACCTTTCACCTCACTGCACTGAGTGAGCAGTTACTTTTCTGATGTTATCACTGACGCCAGGAACTGACTGATCATCTTGCACAAGAGGTTTTACTGGTAAGGCAGAAGAGTAGCTGTTGGAGGCTAAAACACACTGCTGCCTAACTGCGCACATCAAAACAGCCACCCTTATTACTTTCTATGTTTAACCTTCACATCGGGGGTGGCTACATGCCCGTGGATACAGCTTCTCTGCTTGTTGACAGCTTCCTCTTCCGCCCTCTACTCACCTCTTGCTATCGCTCATGTGTGCAAAAAATGATTGAGGAGAGATTAGAGTTTGAGAAGTTTCAGTTTCAGAAATATCCCAAGCTATACGACCCACAATCCCATCATTATTAAGACATCCACTGGTGAGCCATAGCTCTGGAAATTCAGTGAATCAAACAAACACAGGACTTTAACCTAGGAGACCACGGTTGGTATCCCTTGTGAAACCAAAACAAAACAATTTATTTTGGGTAAGTAGTTTATGGCTAACCCTAATCAAACTGCTTCCCAACATTAACCACACAAGCTTTATTTTGAAAGTCCAACCGGACGTTGCATATTTATTATTGCTAACTTGACCGCAGAGGCCCTGTGCACTCAGAAATTACTCTAGAAGAGCAACTACGGGGTCATATTTTGAAGCGGAGGGCTACTGACCAAGCGACGCTTGTCATGCAGGCTTTTGGCCCCTCCTTTCACAGCACTATGTGCGGATGACCATGAGGATGTTAACACTCCTCCTGAGTCATTGAATCATTATCTCAAGAAACTGAGATAATTAAGTTGTGAAAATAGTTTTAGGTATGATAAGATTCATAGTTAGATTAGGTCTTATAAGGAATGAGTTAACTGGATCAAAAGCATAAAGAAAGACTCAAATGTATCTGTCAATCACAGCGACAGAGAGACAAAAAAATAAGGAAAGAGTGTCCAGGTTTAGTTTAAAGAGAGTTCTGTTGTGTTATCATTTTGGCCATGATGGTTTTTTCTCATCTACTTAAAGAAAGAAGAAAAGAGAATTAAAAAAATGGAAAGAAGGGGACAGTGAGTTACTGGACAAGAACAAGATAAAACAGAGAAGGGAAGGGATAAGAGTGAGCTTGTTTTTTACAGCCAGAGCTAGTCATGTCCTTATTTGTGAGTTGTCCAAATCCATTATCTTCTACTGCCAGCAAGGCAGCCCACAGGACACACACATACACACACCTCTAATTCTCCCTGGCAGTGTTTCCTGGTTGATATTGTCAGTGTACAGTTAGTAGCCTGGACTGCTGTGTGACTGTCCAGCAGTGTGTTATGCTTACTGTAGATACAATGCAGTTGTTAGGCAGGCATGACTAATACGTGCATACACACAGTTTTTACACATAATCAACATAGACAAAGTAACAGTGTCATGAGATAATGTGCTTTCTGAGCATATTCACAGCCATGTAAGCTATTCTGCAAAGTATGCCCTTTTTTAACAAGGGTATAAAATAAGAGGAGATATATTATATTATTGATGCAAACGTAATAATTTTTTGAATTATATTTAAACTTTTAAGACTCAATACAAACTCATGGTCATGGTGCGCTGTCAGCCAATATAACTCCAGTCTGGGTACTGTGTCGGCTGTAGTGTGGTCCTGGTGCAACTGCAGGTGAAGTCCAGGTGTGGAATGTGTTTAAAACGCTACACTGTTAGAAGGCCAGAATCAACTAGTCATGTGTACATCAAAATTATCCCTGCTCTCTCTAACCAAGTGCGTGGACCATGAGGGTGGGGCTAGGGAACAGTAGAAGCAAAGGTTTTTTTTACAAAGTCGGTAGAGTAGAGCGACTGAAACTGTTATTCTAATTTACATCGGTGAATTAAGGATTTATNACAGTGAAAAGACTAACAAAGACGGTTTTGGTGAGTTTTATTTGGTTTCTGTCTAATTTGAGCAATGTTACCATGTTACAATGATATGCAAAGTAAAATTACAGTTTTTGTCTATGGAGTTTGGTGGCCTTTGTAATATTACAGCTATCTCTGGTTAAACAAAAAATCTCTTTCTGTAGGGATCCTTTTCATAATGTCATCAAGCACTTTGAATAGGCATACTTGGACGAGCAGATTATTATTATAGCTTGCGTTGCGGCCATTGGAGCCCTTTCCACTAATATTTTCACATCTAATTCAGTGAAAAGTTTCTTTGGACCAAACCAATGTTGTTGATTATTGGAAAGACTGTGGAAAGACTGTGGTAAGACTAACAAAGTTGGTTTTGGTGCATTTTATTTTTAATTTCTGTCCCATTGTTTTGGTCTGAGATGCTGGTGCTCTAGTGTGACATCCAGTGGCAGGTGAATTACCTAATATATTTAATAT